GCATAGAAATCCTACTAAATACTACATAAAAATTTCCATAAAAACTTTTTGACATTTGATGCGTTTTAAACTTTCATGGTCACTAACATTATCTCTTACCTATTAGACAAGTCCGTCCGTCTGTTTGTAGTGCTGTTTCAGCGACCAAACCGTAAGAGATAGATAAAGAGAATATTTAAGTTATAAGTTAAGAATAGTCTGATAAGACTACAAACCGGATTTGAGTAACGTAGCACTTCCGGTTTTCGAGAAATCACGAATTTCAAACGAAACCACACAAAATCTCCGAAGTTCTCAATTAATTATATACATTTTTTTTTAAATCAGGTTTTGGTGAACATTTGGTTCACTGGTTTGCTAGTAGCTATTAATGGGATTGTTACCATGTACCTTGGTTTTTATGACTTCGTGATCATGGCGCTTGCAATAGTACCGAAATATAGAGACCGAGACTCATAAAAAACAAGGTGCATGGTAACAATCCCGTTAATAGCTATTATTTGATGCGTATTTAGATAATATATATTAACTTTAAGATCGAGATCGAATTAACTATTCGAATTCGATATTGGTTCCCGCTAAGTGTACTGGCCAATCAAAAGAAATAGCTTCTTCCTTACAGAAGTCCACAGTTAAAAAAACAAAATTTTATTGGTACTTGGTTTTATTGTTGAGTAAGGTCTCCAGGGCCTTTTAAGAAATGATAAGCAATCAGGTGGGCAACGTGTAAGACATCCTGAAATAGCAAGCGTCTATGGACTACGTTGCTTTGATACCCTATATTAATTTAAATATTTAAAATTTAAGGGGACATCCATTTAATTTGGCGTATTTTTGTCGACCTTCATATTATCTGTTTAATTATAATATAAAACTTTGTATGGGTACACAACCCTTCGTATAGCACTTCGTCAGATTATTCTTATAGAATAATATTTTTAATTAATAAGAAAAAACCGGGTCACTAGCAAAACCGTCAAAGGCTATATATTCAATTAGTTTACAGTGTACAAAAGGCTGTACGTACAAGTGGCTTTCCTGTCACACACTTGCAAACGTAGCACATGAGGCATATCAAGGCATTCCTTTTAAAGTAAAACGTACGGCTTAGAGTGGTTTGCTACGGACACCATCTACGACAAAATGGTCTAGCTACGATACATTTTATGTAGCACAATCGAAGCCATTCTATTTAAATACTTCGATCAATATTCATTTCACAAATTTTTTGAAAGTTTTTTGAACATTTATCGGTTTTTTAAATCATCATCACTAGGATGTGCACCAATGCCTATGGGCTTTCCCTCTGGATGGAATAGGGAGATGGGCCATGACCAATCACGCGGGCTCCGCACGGATTGGTGGGGGCTAACAACTGCAGACGCAGCCGAGAAGCTCGGATTACAGAGGAGCTCGAGATAATAAGTTTTTGGTCACCCATCCAATTACCGACCATTGCGAAAGTTGCTTAACTCTCATGATCGCAGGCCGAACAAAGTAAAAACCTGTGTAATCGAGCTCCTTCTTTTAAATGTTATAATACAATGATTCGATTTCAATAATCTTGTGGGGAGACTATTTATACGGATTGCGATGTAATAATTTCCCATTGCAAGGGATCTCATATTGGCCAAAATTCTTTTTTTATTATATTTTAACATTATTTTTGATGAGACGGTACAATTATATGCATTTTGTGTATAAATAATAAATATTTCCAACACTCACACCATTTAGCCTAGGCCCAAAGTAAGCACTGAAAGGCTTGCTTTTTGTGATGCTAGGGTAACAGAATACATATGCATATACATAATGTAGAAATACATATGCACATCTATGACTCAGGTACATTTTTTGTACCTTAGCAAATGTTACTATGATGAATGTATACATGCATGTATACATGTATATATGCTGTCGCTCACATCAATGATTTCTGAACATTAAACACTGTTTAAAATACAATTCATTCAGTGTAAAATGATAAGCAAAATTGCTATACTACTTTCTGGACTAGTAGCTTTATGCTCCGTAGGAGAAAATAACAGAGTTATGAACCTGAATGTTTTCAGGTAATATGGATGATCTCGATACCGAATAATATGGGTGACGACGGGGTAAAGTAAACAAAATTCTATTTAGTCCGTCAGTTAGATAATCGAAAAATAATGGACACGTATTTTATCTTTGGTCAATCAACCAAAAAATAACAAAGATAAAGCGCGTCAAAGTTTGGGAGTGGTGGCTCGTAACGTCACTTTTAAGTACAAATTGTACCAAAACGTGACGTCATGCGACTTTCAAATCAATATATCTCTGTAATGTTTTGATTATGTGAAAAAAGAAAAAATACGTGTCCAATACTTTTTGGTAATCAAACCTAAAGCACGAAGAAAAAAAAAGTAAGTCGTCATCCCTATGGAATAAAACTAAATTAGGACTTTTTGGCGGGCTCGGGAAGCGTCACTTTAGCAGTTTTGTTTTTTTGTTAAAATTGTATTGTGGCAGATGTTAGTATCTAATAATGGTGGATTATTAACAACTAAGCGTTCGGCAACATGCACAAGTGTTGGCAAGTGAAACGAAATAGCGGAAAGTGTCTTTCGACGTTCCCTCAAGAAGTCCATGGGGAGTTTACAGTAAATCCCCACACTTTTACTGAAACATAGGGAAAGGGGGATTGACTTGACTGCCACTTACTTTGAATTGATTTATTACTTTGACCACGCGTGCTATAGTATTTGTAAACATTTTAACACTTGACATTAGCTAAATGCACAAACCATGCGAAGTCATTTAGAAAAAAAAACATTAAATTATAATTCCAAGTCTTCTAACACAACTCTAACCCCCTTAATAATCAACGAATAATAAGCTTGGATTAGTAACTCCATGTTATGTCTCTGTTTCTTGAATTACAAATGGCATTTGAGTGATATGAACAAAAAACGGCGTAACTAGTCTCAGTTTTTTCCTCGTTTATTGATAAGGGGGTATAAGTTAGTATACTTAATTTGATTTCATATGTATTACAATTGGTGATAATTATTTTTATACTTTAACAAAATAAAAGCAAAGTTCAAGTCATTACTTGGCATTGCCTCTGTTTTTATGAAAGCTATGAAATATAATTAGTTTTAAATGAAACAACCTTCTTTCAGTACTTACAAACAAAAAAGGTTGCAAAACCTCATTATTTGTCTTCGTCTGGTAGATATTAAAAGTTCCAGCCACATTAAGTACTAATGGAATTAGAACTGATGAAGTTCTAAAAGTGGATGTTCAATTTGTTAAACATTACTTAATGTCGGCCTAGCTAAAAGCAGGCTGGCTTTAATAACTAAATCCATTAGGCAATACTTACTCCTTTCGAGAAAATAAGAGTTAAGTAATACAAAAGTATTAATAATAACACAACAAAAGCATTTCCAAGTGTTTTACTGTGGAAATGGTGTAACATTTCCAAGTTCGCAATATCACTTATTTGGCGTAGATTCCACACGAAACTTATTGGTCATTACTAGTCGTATTCTATTGTATTTTGTGCTTTCCACCTTTAAAGATAAGACATTAAATATCATGACAAACAAATCTTGGCAAGTTTCAATGTCACGCTATGTTTATTTATCTCGAAAAGTCGCAACTTTGAAAGTAACAAAGGTCGACTCGGCCAAAGCTCGGCCCTACGTTCTTTAAGTGTAAAAAATTCATCTCATTCGTCAAACAAACAATAACAGCGTTTATTCCTTTGAGTTACTGTCTCTTTGTGTATTGCTTTAATTTAAGCGTACTCTTATGGTATAACGAGGCATTTTTTTTTTAATTTGATTTATCTTGCTAATATTATAAATTTGGAAGTTTGTAAGTTTGTAACTCATTACGCAAAAACGTGGTTTGTACAAGTGGGGTGGACAATACAATACTTGTAAACCTATTTACTTGAAAAAGAATATAATTTTGAAAATAATGGCAACGACTTCAGCAGCCCGTCTCTTCTATTAAATGATTTTTATCAAAAGTAAATCAGGTCTTATTTTTTATGTAAATGCAGGCGAACAATCTGACAGTTCCCCAGATGGAAAGTGGTCACTGTCGCCTATAGCTCCTTTGCGTTGCCAGCTCTGAATGGAAAGTCGTGTTACTTATTTCTGATCAAATAGAAATCTAAAGAAACCAACTTCATATTTTTGTTTTCAGAAACGAAATAACAGCTTTTTTATAAATATGCCATGATGTAGTCCCATTATCACTCAAGACAATATTAAAAGGTTAAGTTTACGCGCATTGAAAAGTGACAAGAATTAAAACCGAAGTTGGGGAACTAAAATGTGATAAATACTTCCTCCACAATTATTAAAATCTTAATGGAATAATGCCTGATTTTTTTCATTACGGTTATCAGTAATGCTATTATGTCCTAAATCTAACTCTCTTTCGTCAATAGATCACAATTTTCAATTGAAGAGCGCAGTCAGTCGCTAAGAATACTCAGAACATTTTACTTAACATGAGCCAGACGTTGCTTTGATGTTACACTCGTCAATCTCGTATCATTTAAAGTGTACCCTCCTTTTTAGAAAATAATACGATTGATTTTATCGCTACGGTATTATTGAAATAGATTTCACGAAACGGTTGAAAATGAAAATTCATACGTAATTAAATCGAGTAATATCAGGGTACATTTAAAGTTTCAATACCCCTAGCACGAACCATTATCAAATTCGAATAGTTTGCGAGTGCTAAATGACAATGTCAAATTTTGAATGAAAAAACTTGAACAGCAGCGCCACAAAGTACGTAACGAGAACTAAAAATCAGTACACATTTGACAATAACATTTCAGACTCGCAAACGTTACGAATTCGATATTGGTTCATGGCTACAGAAAATAAACCGATTATTTAATGTGCTCATTTCACACCCCAAACTGAGCGAGGCTCGGAATGTGGAAACTTAACAACTTATAATAATGCAATATTATATTTAACCATATTTCTTCCGTCATTCTAGCGAAAGACAGAATCACCACGATCGCATCAATCGATTTTATTAAAACGATAATGTAATTTATAATGTTACCATAGACATATAATAATTTATGATAAATATACACGGTGGATAATGTGAATATGACTGAAGTCCATCCGCTACAGGTGCGCGATGGTCGTAGATTTTCTGCCCCACCATTTTAGTTGAACTGTGGACGTGGAGATGCAAAGACGTGCGTATGGCTGCGGAGCATCACCTAACCACGCGCCGTGGGAAAACTAAAAAAGTGTTTGTAATGCATCACGATTAGCAGTGTTGATAAATTAAACGGGTGATTTTTCTCTTTATAAAATATAATGATAAAATCGTAAGTGATGAGTGCTTGCAAATTATTATCAAACTGATAAGATTAAGACGCTTCGTGTGATAATTAAAATTGAAATTTAATTAATTTGTGCTGTAAATAGTTGTTGAAATAATATAAATGGACTTAAGTGAACTCATGGACGTAGACATAAAGTCTTGTGTCTTTAAAAAGAACTGCTGAGGTGTGCTTTGGAAATGTAAGTAAGTACGCTTTAGTTTTCGTCGCAACTTTTGAAAAGTTTTTGTTGTTGCGGGCAAATGATAACTGTGCTTTTACATTGTTCATTTAAATTGTAATGAAAATATTTATTGACTGATTTCGAAAAAAAAATGTTTTTTTATCAAATAAAAAAAAAGAATTGTGGAATAAAATGACTTTCTTCTTAATTAAAGAAAAGTTTAGGGGTTGAAGTTAAAGTCATACTTTTCTAGCATTCTTAATTATTTCAAGACAACTTTTGCTGTTTAATCGGTAAAACAGCACAAATTAAAATGTACTTTTTTCTTTATTGAACTATTTATGTGTGGCCTGGAATGCGTTATTCCAAATATTCTTCTGATATTCCAGATATTGTTTTTCAGTTGAAAACATTCAGTTGAGGTATTTCCATTCTGGAAGCAAAAGGGACCAAACATAAAAAAGGATAGTACTCGTATTTTATGTCTCGATTTCATACAGTACTCCTATGGGGTTCGTACAATTTCTGCGGAAAAAACAGAATTTAGAGTTTCTTTGAAATTTCCCAATTTCCTAAGCAACTTTTCCAATTTTTCTTATTATAAAAACTTTATTATGAATACGACGAATACTTTTTGTAGAGTAGCATTTGCGTGATAAGTTTGTCATTTATTTAATTATTGAATTTGGAATGTTTATATTTTTACGTTTGTACCATAAAAAAGGTATTTTACATTATCTGTACCTTAAATTTTGGTAAAGTGTGTGTTGCGATTTCATATACTGCGAATTGCTGCTTTTGTAAACCTATTCTAATTGTCGGACATTGGGATCCGTCGACAGGAGGTGATGTAATTCTTTGAAAAAGGAAAAAATTAACCATATTTTTATTTGGTTCTGTAATATTCTACCGCACCCGGAACTGAACTTCCACAAAAACGGAGCTGTGCGGAATTGAGCAAACTGCAGCCGTGTAAACAGGTAAGTGTTTCCATTGAAGCTGTGCGATATGCAGAGCGGAGCTGTGTGAGACGAGCGTAATGGATCAGATTGTTGATAAGCTGAGCGGAGCTGTGAATGCATTTCATTTGCAGTTAGTTAAACAATTGAATACAATAGCTTCGCTCGGCTCTACTCCGCCCAAAACCGCACCGCTCCGCCTCGCTCAGCATGACAACGCTTCGCTCTGCCCAGCGTAGCTCCGCGAGCTATATATTGTGATGTTCCTCTTCTAAACTCCACTAATACTGAATCCTATGAAGTGGAACGGAAAAGAGATGTGTATTTTGAGCAATGCGATTGGTTATTTTTTTAAGACTCTGCTTAGCTTCGCACAGCGATTATTTTGCGTTACAGTAGGAAGCTTCATACAAATAATACTGAACAGCTCGAGTTCATATGGTGAGCTGACTCAAATCTGCAAAAACTTTACCCGGATACAAATCAAACACTTTTAGTGCTATGTAACTAATTTCTATTTTTTTTCTAACCGCATAAATGCGTATATAAATGTCTGATAAAATAAAACCATACCGCGTTTTAAAATGTTGCTCATCGCCATCTACAAAATAGGTAACCTTACAACCCTATTTTACCGCCTATTTAAAAGGTTTTGAAACTATAAATATGCATACTTTAATTACTAATTATTATTAGCAACAAAGCAACGCTTGAAGTAAATCGAACGACGAAATAACCAGTTCCATACAGGGGTTACTCTTCCCCACCTTTTATAAGATTTTTGTGAAAAAAGTAGCTTATAACTATATCCAAGGTCACATCTATCTGTATACCAAAATTGTATGAAAGCGTAACAAACTAACAACAAGTCACTTTTGCATTTATAAGTAAGGATTTCAAAAAGTATAGAAGTCTTGCTGTTTTCATTTTGAGCAATAGTTATAAAGGACATGGTAAAATTTTGTATGAGCGACTGCCCTAGCAGTGTATAAATATTGGATTTAGTAATATTTAATGCTGGATGGCTGAATATTTATAATGTCTATAAAAGAAGGCTCAGAAACTTTTGATAAAGTTACGATCTTGAAAATTATGAAAACTTTTACTACGACATTACCTTGCTACATTGATAAAAGATATTGCCAATTATTTACTGAGCCAGCATTTTCCCATTTTCTTATAATCTTTCCTCCCATTTCTCGGATTAACGCTTCAAAAAAGTATTTTTATAGCAAAAATAAATACAATTAATTTGTAGTCGACGGCCTGACAGGAAATCTGTGCAAAAATCAAAGAATTAATTATATGAGAGCCTTGTCTCAAGCCTGATCAGAAAATTAAATCAATTATTTTAGGCTTTCGCTGATTTTTAATAACAAAAATTAGGTATAAGTATGTTATAGCTTTCAGGAGTTTGGAATTAATGTTGTTTATTACGATATACTTACACAAGTATTCTTTTGTGTACATTTATTGTTTATTTATTTTTGTAAAACGTTTTTTGTTTTACTTTTGATGCAGACTTAAAGTAAATTTTTATACTTTTAAATATTTGGTTATTTCACGAAAGTTGTACCTACGGGAATGATAAAGACGTAATAATTAATAAAAAAAAAATATTATAAATACTGTTACGGGCTACTGCGATATAATAATACACGTTAAAGGCAGTTTCTTAGCCATGTCCTTTACAATCTTTATAATGGTTACAAATAAGTCTCAGTAGATTATTAAACATTCCAATATAATGACATTCCAATAGACAAACACTAGGTACTTAGTACCTTTGATTTATTTATACCCTAATAGAGCAATTCAAATAAACCACGCAAAGAAAACAGCTCATATTACGTGCAATGTGTGCGTGACTTTAATGTCAGATTTATTAAAGCGCTCATGTGTGCGTGTGTAGCGACGAGCATATCTACCTACCATATGTAGAAGGTATTTTTTTGGCCTCTTTCGTGCAATTAATACTGTATCTAGGCATGTTTAAAATCAAAGAAACAATGATTATAAAAAAATATATTAAAAAAATAATTGGCCGATATGTGACGACCTCCGTGACCGAGTGGTATATACGCCGAATTTGAAGGTGTCGCCTAATCGAGAAGTGCCGGGTTCGAATCCCGGTGGGGGCAGATATTTGTGTGATGAATACGCGATGTGCATTTGTACTTCTGTCATGGATGTTTAATATGAACTTCTATGTAAATATACTTCAATATGTATCAGTATATATTCTATCCGTTACCCTAGTATCTCTTTACAAAAGCCTACAGTGCTTACTTTGGGGCTAGGCTAATTGGTGTGAGTAAAAAAATAATACAACCTTATTAATCTTAGTTTGTCCTAATACACGCTATACGTCTTCCATCTGGGCCAGCGACGCTTAAGTTATGACGACTGATGAGTGATATATTGTAAAACATTTTGAATTATAGGAATAGCAGTTAGTGTGAGTCATTAATTACAATATTTTTTATCACATCTATTCGAAAGGAGCTAATTTGTTCTTTGTTTACAGGGACTAAAATAGAGTTTTAATCCCTAGGGAGTAAAGTGTTGGTATTGATATATAAACACCAAAGAGATCTTTTTATTAGATTATTCCATTTTTGGAAACGGCAAAGATAATGCCATGCAGCCACTGTCTTTTTTTTATTAATCTTCTTTTTTGTCTACATTAGAATGTGTCTGTGTCACGCACTATAATGTATATTAGAGTGTTTGGCACGAAATATATCGAGTCAGCTTTCTCGATAAGCTTCTGTGAGGGAGTCAAGATTACAAATAATTTCTCACGTCCACTTGACCGGAATAGCGTATATTAAAGATTCCACTAATTCTTCAGTTCTTTGCGCATACGGTTGTAAATCAAAATCACACCACTTTTATTTCACAATATCCTCATCGCGCCTGGCCTCATCGGCCATGTTGCTCTATGTCATCGCACAAAAAACCCCCAAAGAGATCAATCACCAGCATTTTATGGATAAGTCACAGAGTAAACCGACGCGAGCCCGCCAAATTAAAAAGAAAGTTTGTGAAAGATTACAAACGCGCGAAATACATCATGCCTTCATTCATATTTGTTACTCAAATTCGGTTTTTTTAAAAATGTGTCTCTTCCTCGAGTAGTGAGAATGTATATACCTATGCTAATGATATTATAAAGTCTTATTACCAACAAAACCCGCCCGCCCGCGAACAATAAATAAAAGCATAATATTATGAAGAAAATGCTAGAAAGGTGAAACCTTTTACAGAAAATGTGTTTTTGATCTATTTCCAAGATGGTCTTGTTGTTATTTTATGTAAATAAATGAACGTTCTTTTATTACATATTTGTAGTTACATTTACACTTATTTTATCGTAAGGAGCGATAAAAAAAATGAGCGTCCAGCAACAACGTCGGTAGCAACACTTAAAGCTTGAGTGACGTACTTTGATTCGTCGCTGCGCTCAGGTTTCAAAAAACTATCTCGCCTTTATAATAATTTTTTGATACTAGATTATTTACTAAGTAATCTACTATTTGATAACTCACTTTTTGTCTCTATTTTGACGTATTTTCAGTCCACTTCTTTGCAAGTCAACAAAATATCCCTGTTCTTATATTAATAGGAAATTTTGCTTTTTGGTTTGAAAATCAGTGAGTTAAAATTTAAACCATACTCAGATCTACGGTTCCTAGCAAAATGAAAAACCCAAACTTCTTAGTAAAAAAAAGATACGGCTGTTTATGTTGCGCATTCACTTTGTACAAAACCCTCGGTGTGCAAGTCCCACTCGCACTTGTCCGGTTTTTTGATATTTTTATGTGTAGATTTTTTATATAATTTTGAGCGGAAACAATAACATCAATAATTTGAGCGGATTTTTTATATGTATATTATTTTGAGCGGAAAAAATAACACGCAGCTGATTTATTAAGTGTCAGCAGCGCCATATGCACATGATGTTGAGATTTTGCTGGGTTATCTAAAAAAGTCAGACTTCACTTCCTTCACTTTCCTTCACTTCAGAATGGAAGTTTAACTTAGATTAATCGTATCAGTT